GTGAGGCTCACTTCCTGGTTCTGACAAATGGACTCTGGGTGTGGTGTACAATCACAGGGAAACTGGACGGAGGATCTCCTGGGCAGCCTTAGACTGAAGCTCAATGGTAGGCGGCTTGCCTTAGCTTGCCTAGGCCCTGGGTCCTGTCCCCAGTGCTACCATCCTCTTCCCCAAAGATTAATTGGAAAAGAAAGGCTGGACAGGAACTTTGTGTGTTATTTTTTTTTCTACTTGTTTGTAAGCATAAAATTGTTCCAAAAAGATTTTTAAAGTTATTAAAGCGAGTTAAAATTCCAGTTTCTCAGGCACTGTAGACATATGAGGAGCACAAATGGCCAGCGGCCTCAGTATGGGGCACAAGACACAGATTGTGTTCATGGCCCCCACAAGCCCCTGCAGGGACGGACAGTGCTGCTCACTGCTGTCCCTCATCCTGTAAGTGACTCAGGCAGGACACTCGAAGAACGCCATTCCTGACTCCACGCTCCTCCCCTGTGCCTGATACAGTTTCTCTCTCCACAAACCAATACTTCCACAATGCATGCTACACCAGCCCACAGAGGGTCTTTGATGTTACCAGCAGTCACTGAAAGGCTCTCAGGAGCTCGGTTGTGGTCTGAATGGCTTTTCATTTAAAAAGCCTGACAGCAGGCAGCCCTAGTAAAGCCACTGAATCCATAGGGCTCCCCAACTCTGGTAACTTGAAAAGAGGCAATGTGGGCCAGCTCCCCGGCCCAGTAGTCACCATAAATATCACCCAACATTTAAAAAGAAGAATGTGTCCTGAGGACTCAGGTGCATATCTAGATCTCTCCTCCCCAGCTGGGAACCTGGCTGTCTTGGTTAATCGTGAGAGGAATGAACCAGCCCTACTCTGACAGACCCTGTGGAAGGCAGGAGGGCCCTTGGAATTAAAGCTGAGCTCCCCACCCCCACCCCCCGTGCAGCTTAGTGGGGTTAAGCTGTGGTTTCCCAACATTGTTTAGTGTTCCATGGTTTCCTCCAGGAGGGGCCAGAGGGATGTCACTGGTCTGTGGTCAGGAAACGTGACCTGGTTTTCTTCACTGCCCTTCACACACACATGCACACACACACTCACACTCACGTGCACTGTGTGAAACCTTGGCCACCACTAACAGAAAGCACAGAGCTAGTGCAGCCTGGCAGCTGCTCATGAAGTCAGTACTGCTCACCCATCGGCTCCTCCCTCCTTTCCACCTCCACATGCAACATGAAATTCAGTGTGTTCCTCTTCAGCTCACCTGGCTTGGTAGGCCCTGTCCCCACCTCCCTCCTGGCCAGCCCACCCCCCTTCTATTCTCAAGCCCACTCATGTGACTGGGGCTGTTCCTGCCTTAGGGACCTTTGACCCCGTTGTTCCTGGCCTTTGCTGGAACTCACTCTGTAGCCCAGGCTGGCCTTGAACTCACAGAGATCTGCCTGCCTCTGCCTTTCGAGTGCTGGGATTAAAGGCGTATGCCACCACCGCCTGGCTACCTTTCCTAAGTCTTGTCCCTAAATCTTGTCCTAAGTGTCCTTCTTCACTGAGGTCTTCTGATCCCCAGTCACTGTCACCTTGTCCCACTTTCATGCTTTGTTAGAGCGCGCAGGGATCACCTGGCCTGTTTCCTTTGTGCATGCTTGTCTGAGTGCCCTAGGATGTCTGTTCCCTGGGAGTGGGAAACAGTGGCATATGTGGTGATATAGGTGGTAGACAAGATGGACCAGTGGGTAAATGCACTTACTGGATAAGCCTGACAATCTAAGTACGATCCTTGGATGTCACAGTTGAAGATTAGAATCAACCTCTCAAAGTCCTTTGACTTCTGACCTCTGACATGGTGGTACACACACTGGCACTCACACTTTACACACACACACACACACACACACACACACACACACACACACACACACACACAAATAATAAAAAATTAAAGAGGTTAATTCACTACCACTGGCGACTTTCACAGAAACAAACGCAACACAGAAGGCACTGAGATCCAGGCCCTGTAGGGTCTCCATGACAAGAGGCTACAACCCCAGGAGCCCAAGGATTCGGTCCAGCTCTAAAGCAACCTCCAGTTCCTTCCTGTGTTTGTTTCTCTTGCCACAGTAAAATCCAACCTCTGCTAAGCTAAATGAGAAAAAGAGCCAGGAAAACAAGAACCACATACAAACGAACCAACCCAAAACCTTGTGATCCCCGACAGAGAGATAGAGTGGCCACTCCTTCGTTCTTTCCCTAAGAGACTTGGATTCGAATTCAAGGACAGAAGACAACAGCAGACATACACCAGACCCTGCTGTCCTTGGAATGGTACATGAGGATGGAGGGTTGATAGAGGGTTGATGGAGGACAGAGGGAGGATGGAGAATGGATGGGGGAAGAAGGAGAGAGGGTGGATGAAGGAAGGGAGGAAAGCAGGTGGAGTGAAGATGGCAGGAAGATGGAGAGTGGGGGAGGGATTGAGGATAGAGGTGGGGGGGTTGGGAGGGGACAGAGAATGGATGAAAGTGGGTGAAGGGACTGTGGTTGGATGATGGAGGGTAGAAGACGGAAGAGGGTGGAAAAGGGGAAGATGAGGAGGAGGAGGAGGAGGGAAGAGAAGATGATGGCACGGAGGGTGGGGGATGGGTAAAAGAAGAATGATGCAGGGGGATAGAGAATTGTTCTAGTTGGCTTTAATTGTCACCTTGACACAGCCTAGAGTCCTCTGAGAGGAGACCCTCAATGGAGGAACTGGCTTGACCAATTGGCATGTAGGCATGCTTGTCGGGGGTTATCTTGATTATGAATTGGTGCAGGAGAGCCCAGCCCACTGTGGGAGGCACCATCCCTAGGCAGCTGGTTCAGGGTTGTATAAGAAAGCCTGCAAATCATGAGCCAGTGAACAAGCCAGCAAACAGTGTTCCTCCAAAGTTTCTGTTTCAAGGTCTTCTTTGAGCTCCTGCTCCGACTTCCCTGGGTGATGGACTGTGACCTAAAGCTGAAACAAACCTTTTCCTCCCTTCAATTATTTTTGATAAGAGGTTTTATCACAGCAACAGGATGAGATTAGAACAAGGATGGGTGGTAAGGTGGGAGGTGGGGAGGGGATGTAAGGGAGGTGGGAGGAGGGAGGGTGGACAGCAGAGGGATGACTAATGTGTCTTCATGCTCCGTAGTGAACGGTATCAAAGTCATGAAGCTAGGTCAGGCTCTTTATCATGATCACCTCTGGGGTCCTAATCTATGAACGGTGAAATGGAGGCCCCCATGGGAGACGCAGCATGACAGAGACACCAGGAAACAAGTTACAATCCCACAAGTTAAAACTGCCACTGACAGTGCACACACTCAGTTTTTAAATACCACCATGGGGGGAAAAGCCTTACGTTTCCTCTCAGTTGGGATATACTCTTCAGTACATGATACAACTGGTGTGCCCCCACACTAAAATGGGTGTGAAACCCAAGAGTGGGTCTTAGAATCCAAGACAGATTCTCTCCGCCTGATAGTCTTCCCTGTCCTCACAGGTCATGGCCCAGGGACTCCTAAAAGACCAAGACCATGGCTGTGGGCAGTGCTGAATGGATGTTCTGACCCCAGTATAGTTTCCTATCTGCCACTGTTGTAAGCCCAGGAGTCTGTTGTGGGCCTCTCCTGTGCCCTGCAGGACATTTAGCAAGACCTCTGGACTCTTCCTAGAAGATGCCTGTGGGTCCCCCCGCACCCCCCTCCACCCCATGGTAGTCTTAGACACTGCCTAATGCCCCCTGGAAGGCAACGCCTCTCAGAGTTGAGAGCAGACAGGCTGGCAAGTACAAGGCACACTGAGAATGGACACAGTGGGAGTCCCTATGACATGTACTGATGCATCCGGGTCCCTTTCAGAACAGGGTGTGTCCACCAAACCTCCAAAGAGAGCCTGACCACTGAGCCCCTCTACCAGAGTAAAGGGTTGTGCAGTACTCTATAACCTTCCATTGGGAAATGCCATGCTAGGCCCCTGAGATGTGGGCAGCCATTGCCCAGGTCCCTTCTGACCCTCTTAACTATGTCCCCACCCCTTCCGAACCCTTTCGAGGCCCAGCACACTTGATGCTCTTGACATGCTTCTAGGTGAAGGAAGGTCTGTGAACCCCAGGCCTCTGCAGAGGTCCAAGCCAGCTGCACCCAGTGCTCCCTCATGGAGGACAGCCCCCATGGTGACAGCACAGGGCACTGATAAACCTGTGTGTGTGGTCTCTCAAGAGGCAACTGGTGACTTGTAAATTCGTGCAACAAGGCTCTGTGTGGAGACTTAGAGACATCCAGCCCTCCCCTCAGCACGCCATGGGAGGACAGCCTCAGTAGAGAGAAGAACACAGAACGCAGTAAGGCCACACACTGCGATGCAGACTGAGAAGTTGGGGGCTCCAAACAGTCAGGGAAGACTGCCTGCAGGAGGGAAACCCAGAGGAAAAGAGAAGCTGTTCTTCCTGGTAGCAAGCCCTGTAACCTTCTTCCTCGTGTCTAAGAACCAGACATCACCTATGACGTTTCTGGACAATTCTCATACCTAGTATATGAATGTACACCTCAAATGCAGCATCCAGCTACTGCTGCTGCTAAGCCACATCCTCATAAACAATCTTACTTCCTTTCCAGAACATTCTGTTCAAGAATTCCTCTGTAAAAACTCTACCTTCTTTTAGCTTCCACTCCTCAGTGCTGATGAGAGCCACGTGGAGCTGTTCTGTTCTGTACCGGGAAAGATCTCTGACCTCTGACCTCGCCCAGCCAACCTTCCTAAGCACTGCAGTAGTAAAGAGCCCAGCGCTATATAGCTAGTCTTGCCTGGACATGACCGCCATGTTGGGAAGCAGGCTTCAGGGATCTGGGCTGGACTATCTCCAGGTCTGGTCTGCAAGATTCCACACCAGGTTTCAGGACCCAGGACCCACAGTCTCAGCTTCCCTGTGACAGTGGGTATGTAGTCCCCCCCAGGAACCCCAGGCTGCTGAGTGGATCTTACCTGTTGGAGGCAGAGAGCTCCTGTGAGGGCCAGGGCTGGCTGAAATCCCAGGAGAACTGCTGGGCCGTTCCCAGGTGGTCTCTAGTCAAGGGGAAAAAAAAGAGATCCTTTGAGAATTCCATGGTGGTACCCAAGTGTCACAGAGCAGAGTGAGCCTTCCTTCCTTACCTCAGGCCCAGGAGAGCCTGCTTCCTGCCTATGCCCCCTACTCTTTAACCCCCATGCCTCTTGGCAGAACATGTCTTAGCCAAAGCCCTTCTCCACGGGTCGGACCTGAGGAGGTGGCTTCCAGCTAGAATCTTCTACCTTACCCTCTGTAGTAGTTTGAAACCGAAATGGCTCCACAGGCTCATAGGGACTGGCACTATTGGGAGGTGTGGCTTTGTTGGAGTAGGTGTGGCCTTGTTGGAGTGGGTGTGGCTTTTTTGGAAAAAGTGTGTCACTAGGGTGCTGAGGGCTGTGGGAGTATACAGCAGGTGACAACTAGTGCTTGACAAGTCGACCCACCAGACGTATAAATTCCCTGATGGGGAGCCCTACCTGGCAAAGCCGTGGGGTCAGTGGCTGTGGAAACCGGTTGTTTTCTGTCTGTAACTTTCTCGGGTGCCACTGTTATGCCTCCCCATAAGAACAGCTGTGGGGTGCTTTCTACAGCCCTTTGGTAGTGTGTTTTACATCTCTGGGCACACATTTAGCTGTGGATTTCTGTTTAAGCTGTATAATTCTGATGTATAGAAATAATACCAGAATGTTCTTCTTCACCGACACAGGAAAGTAACAGTATTCTCAGTCTCAAAGACAGCCTTTTAAACATTTTGAAAAAAACCTTAGAACTAGTCCAAAACAGACTAAGCTTCCCCTACAGAACATACGCAAAGACCAATTCCCAGGTGTCGTTTATTGCTAAAGCAAGGCCAGGCTGTCTACATCAAGACATAGTCCTTGCAGTAGCTCCCTTTCTGCATGCACCCTGACTGCTCAAGGTTCAGCCAGTTGTTTAACTGTCTGGGACCCCTCACCAACTCAGAGCTATGTGCACGGGTCAATGTGACATTACTAGCCTAAGAGAAACTACGTGACCTATCCTGTGTTTTGAGAACGGGTAGGGCCCTGAAAAATGTTAACTTATAATTGTCCAGAGTTTGGCTGAGAGAGAGCAGTAGCAGCAGTGTGGAGAGAGATGGCTGTGTAGAGCTGTGTGAGAGCTGCTGCAGAATGTAAGTGAAGTGTGCGTGCGTGCGTGCGTGTGTGTGTGTGTGTGTGTGTGTGTGTGTGTGTGTGTGTGTAGTGAGAGATGATGAAGAAGAAGCATGAGACAGAAGTGTGAGGGGATGAACGGGTGAAAGACTGAGTGAGGAAAGAGTGCGTGAATAATGTAGAAGATGTGTAGCCACGTGAAAAGATGTATGTAAGTCAAGACAGGTAGCTGGACGTAGCAGTGTGGAGATATGTAGCAAGACAGAGACAGAAAGAAATCAGAGACCATTTTAAAGATGAAGTAAAAGAGAAAGTTAACATCAGAAAGCATGTGTGTTTCCTTATGTCATCAGTCATAGATAGATGAAAACTGATTCCTGATTACTCCTCATATAAAAACGTTTCCTATCCCTCGCTACTCTGAGGCACTCCTTTTATTACCCTGAGCTGACTGTGGGAGCTGGTCTCTCACAGTCCATGTTACTAGGGGATGGGCTTTGAGGTCTCAAATGCTCAAGCTAGGTCTAGTGTGACATTCTCTTCCTGCTGTCTGTGGGTCAAGCTATAGATCTCTCAGCTCCTTCTCCAGCACCATGTCTGCCTTCACACCACTTGCCAAGACAATAATGGACTAAACCTCTGAAACTGTAAGCCACCCCAATTAAATGGTTTCCTTTATAAGAGTTGTCACGGTCATGGTGTCTCTTCATGGCAATAAAACTCTAAGACACAGCCCCACTCCCCAAGTTACTTCTCTCTACTTCTGCTCCAGGGCTCCCTTCTCTAGTCCCAGAATTCCCAGCTACATATAGGGCATTTCTTCTCAAAGTCTATGGTAACCTCAAACCCCAAAGCACAGAGCAAAGAACCTTGGTCTGTAGAAAGATGGTCCTTGGCCGAGAAGTGAACCCTAGGTACCTTCAGACTCTACCGTTCTGTCCTTTGTTAGGGGGTTTGTTTATAGAGTCGTGTAGCCAGGGTAACTTGTGATTCTCCTACCTCAGCCTCCCAAATGCAGGTGACAGTCATGTGCCCCCATGCCCATCCCATTCTACGTCTTGGTTGAAACACAATTTTGGAAGTCTCCCTGGCCACCTGTCCTGAGACTCAGCTACACAAGCTGATCAGCAGTTAACCAACACTGCAGCTCTATTCCTGTCCCCAGAACTTAGGGCTGTGAGCGGACTTCCTATAACATTACCTAGTGGTAAAAGTGGTAACGACTTCCTTTAGTCCGGTATGGTGGCTCACGTCTGTAATCCTAGCACTAGGGAAGCCGAGGCAAGAGAATCAAAAATTTAAAGCCAGGGCTTGGCAAGATGGCTTAGCAGGTAAAGGCGCTTGCTGCCAAGCCTGGTGACCTGACTTTGATCCCTGGAACCCACAAGGTAGATGGAAAGAACACACACACACACAGTAATAAAATACATTTTTAAAACTTGGGCCACAGAGTGAATTCAAGGCAATCCTGGACAGTTTAGTGAGACTGTATCTGGAGACAATGAAATAAAACCCTTTCTCACTATATGCATTTTGAGAATGCAAGGGAATGCTAGGAAGAAGCAAGCATTACCCATAATTCACCCTTAGAGGTTGGCATTCCCCAGATTTTGGTACCCACGTCCATTTATTTACTGCACATAGTTTTTTTTTTTTTTGTTGTTATCTGGGGAGACCTTTTGGTAGTTTTTTTGAGGGTCTTGTCTAGCCTAGCCTCAGACTTGTAGTGAGTGGTCTTCCTGTCTCAGTCCCCAGAGTGGGGGAACACTGATGTATGCCACCACTAACGGCTGCTGACTGTGCGCCTGTCTTTGAAAGAGAACGTAATCTCCCGCACTCTCTCCATGTGACTCCCCTTTCAGATCACTCTGGTGGGGTTGGACAGTCCAGGGCTCATGACAGTGCCACGTGAAGGGGTCTCCACTCCAGCTCTGCCACTGGTGACCAGCATAATTTGAACCAACTCCTCAGCGCTCAGGGCTTCAGTTTCCCCTTCCGCAAAGTGAATTTTTACAGCAGCGACAGTATCAGCACTCAAGGGAGGCACTGGTACACTGCCATGCTTCGGTCATAAGATTATGTTTAAAATTAAACAAAATATGGATGGATATAACCTAATCCAATAAAAACTCCATCACTGGAAAGTTCATTGTTTCAGATGATGAAAACAAAAATCTCTCCCCTTTTATGGCTATTCCTGACTGTGAATCCAATGGCTTCTCCCTCAGCTTCTGCCTACACTTCTGTGGAACCCTAGCTAGTCACACCAGCCACTAATACTCTTGTCTCCAGCCTTGATGGGCAGTCTTAAAACCGTGTCTGTGTTTTAGGGAGCATGCACTGAGGGCTCTGGGGAGTTGACTTAGTATGGTAACAAAATGCACACGAGTGGAGAAGACCAGCTAGAGAGGGAGGAGGGGGCATCCTTGAACAAAGAGAGGTGAGGTAAGGGTAGGACTCAGGCCTAGCATATGAGGCTCTGGGTTCTACACACAAGGGGGTGCAGGAGCTTCCTCAGGAAGCAGACATGTCTCTAACCTAGCTCCTCTGTAAGGAGGGCTCACCTCCCATCTGCCCACGGTCAGCTTGCTTGGAAGTCAAACTGCTACCCGAGTCTACAGCATCAGCCCGGGTCAGCCCCGGCTTTCCCCTCCACTCCTGGCCTCCTGGCTTCCCCAAGATCCACAGGCAGAAACCACCTGCTTCCCCAGCCCTCCCTCGCTCTACTTTCACTCATCAAACTGGTTTGGCCCTGTGACTCTGCTCCCATCAGTGGGTCACCGACCCTTGTGTCCTTCCCCCAACTCCCAATCTGAGCTCCCTGCCTCTTGGCTCTCCCATCTACATCCCAGCCCCAGGACTAATAGACCGCTGGCCCCAGAACCCAACTCTTGTCTTGAGTTACTCACTTGTGAAAATCCCTCCCCAACCAGGTACCAGGGTGACAGACGAGGACAATCCAATTCTCCCAGCGAGCTGCACCAGCCTTCTGTCCTTGTCTGCCTGTCCAGACGGTCTTCTCTGCAGGCCTGGTTAGCCCACGCTGGTGATTTCTGAACACGCCTCTGCTATTCTCTTTGCCTGTTCCTGTGCCTTGCAATCACCATCTTGCATATTTAAAATGCCTCCTCTGCCATGCAGGCTTCCCAGATCACTTCCTTTCTCTAGGCCAGATACTCCCTGCCTTCCCCCCCAAAAGCCACCAGAGTGGGTATGGCAACCTAGCACCCCATCCTTGCAGGTGCTCACCAATGAATTCCTCTCAGGATGCTGGCTCACCCAAGGTGATGCCGGAGTTGGGCAGGAGATGGAGGTGCACATGTGGACATTAGTCAGCGTCGGGGAGTCGAAGGTCCGAGCAAAAGTTCTGAGGTGCCCCCTGCCCAGCTCAGAGCTCTAGTTAGGGTTGCAGGAGGGCTTTCAGCATGGCAGTATTGATTGCTTGTCGTCTGCCCAGGGTGCCTGTCTCCCCAGCACCACCTCCCTGCTGGCCCTTCTGTAGACATCTGCCCCAAATTTGTCGGGGAACCTGAGCCAGGGCAGAGCACAACACACACACACACTCCAGCCCTTGGGTGGTCACAGGTTCTCACCTTGTCATCTGTAGTTTGACCTTGAGCACAGCAACCCTGCCTGGCTCACTCCTCACGCCTGGTCCCGCACCAGTCAACAAGGCTGGACGATGTTAGAGTACGTTGGCACCTCCCACCTGGTGTGCTTCAGCTGTCTGGGGATAAACCCACTCCACTTAAGCTCGGGGAATGTCCCCAGAGAACTGTGTCCCGTGTTTGGGTCACTGACTCTGTTCCTTTGGTGGCTGAGGCCCCTGACCTTATTTTAGAAGGAGGAACACTTCACATGCTCCCATCTCCAGCTGATGTACA